AAATAAAAGCCAACAAAGGCATTATTTTGAAGACCTGCCCAAAACTAGTTGTAAGAACTTCAAGGCCCCCAGACTCAGACAGATCTCCCAGCACCAGAAGGGATCAGCACCATCATGGAGAGACACAGAGAAGCTGTAACTGGGTGCCACGTGCCCTGTGTAGAAATGGTGACAACAGTCTCTTTGGGAAATATCTGTCAACATTTCCAGGGTCCAATTCCGCACTGGCACAAATGTGGACCAACTCTGCCGATGCAGCAGCGTTGTAACTGAGACTTGCAGCTTGAAATAAAATTTTGGCACGGTACTGGCCCAAACCAGACATAAATCAGGCTCTCTATTCTTGTCAATGCTTTGGCACCAGCTGAGTGAGGCAGGGTTGTTGCTACCCCTTCAGATGGAGTTTTGGACCAATGCATTTCTTCATGAGCGCTGCCACTCTCAGCACGTGCAAAATCTCAGTGCAAGAAAGCCACAGCTTGTAAAGAAATGCTCCAACACACTTAAAACACCCAAAAGAAATCAAGACTTTTTTTTGGCATCTGTGAAGTTTTTAGCGTGAGCCATACCCTGTTGCACCAGGTACTGCACAGATGCTCTAACGAAGGATAATACAGACAGGGGAAGGTGCCACATCAGATGCCAGCCCTGCTTCTCACAAGCTGTACTGCCCTCCCTGGGGTCACAGCACAGGTTCACAGCAGTGGTCTGCAGCTGTGAACCTCTCCCCTCCTTCTCACCACAGCACTTTCTCTCCTACTGCAAAGGGCCACCACTGCATCCAACATGGCTGCAGCGGGGAAGCTGGAAGTGGCTGAAGTACATGACACCCTCCCAGGAAACACAGGCTTGCAGAGCACAAAGGAGCTGTGAGAAAATACTGGTCAGTGTGACGGCACTTACATTTGTACTAGCAGCCTGACCAGCATCAGCCACCTGGTAGGTATCACAGTAGAGGGGCCCACAGATCAGATCTGCAGGACACCCTGGGACAGTTGCTGGCTGGTTTACAGGGGGCTTCTTCCACCAAGAGCTGCACAGCATGAAAGCAAAGGCTTTAAATTTTAAATTTAAACAGGCAAGAACCTGAAGCTAGTGAACAAGCTGAGCAGAAACAGACATCAGAGTTAGACTGAGTTCATGTTACAGGACTCTCCTCCATGCTAGTGGCTACATCAGCCACTGCCAGTGACATGTGAGGGTTGAACAGGACATGCAAGCCTCTTGGTCCTAAGTACATCTGTCAAGGGAGATACCAGATGCGGACGTAGAAAATTTGTATCGCTGTTCCCCCACAGAAGCACAAGACTACATCTGAATATCAAAGCTATGTTGCTTTCAGGAACATTTTTAGCACAACACTTCAATTTTCTTACTAGATTCAGTGGTATCAAGACTCTTTACCGGCACCTTCCACAGTCAATAGCAGTGACACAAGGCAGCCATTTCTGGGCTGAACCTCACACCAGTAAACATGACAATCACATCTTAGACCCTTAAAACAAGCATCCTGTATCTCCAGTTCAGACTTCATGGCCGCAGAGTACCAGCCCTGCGCTTGGGTTGTAGGCTCCAGGGGGGAGCATGGAAGATAGCCCCCATTATTTCCTGCAGATGGGACAATTGCCTGTGACTATGCAGGGAGAGAGGTTGTCTTCACCACTGCAGGAAGCCAGCTCCCAAATTTAATAAAGATTTCTCCTTCCAATTGCTTCACCAAATATGAGCGCAACACTTGCTCTTGTAACAAAATGTCACCTGCTTTTCAAGTACGAACTAAATGAGCTTTCCTGAGAAAAATAATTGCCAACTATTAAAAGGCTACTGTTGGAGCTGTAGAGGACTGTTAAAATACAAAGAAAGACGTGCCACATTCTTCCTGAATTGATACTTCAGACAAAACCTATTTGTGTTTTGAATGTGTCACTATAACAATGACTGCTTGTTTTTGTGAAGATTCAGACTGAGAGCCATGCAATCATTTTCTAAGAGCAGCACTTCTTTGTTGTTCATGGAAATGCTGGGAAAAAACCTGGTGATTAAGTTGGTCTCTGCCTTAGACAGCAGAGGAGTCTCAGCCCATATCTTGTCAAGCCCACACTGGAGAATGCCCAACTTGGGACCCGATCAGGCCACTTTGCTTTTTGCCAGGGAGTCACCTGTAGGGAAGAGCCCCCATTTTCCTAACTTCCACCTTCTTTCTCCTTATTGTGTTGTCCAATCTTACACCAAATAGCAACTTCTCCTGTTTTGTTAAAAGCAGATTTTTTAACAACTGTTTTCTCCATAAGAGCAGATTCTTCCACCTCTGACCATTTTGACTTTGCTACTTGAGACAGAAGCACTTTGAAGGACCAGCTTTGCAATATCCATATGCACAGCCAGAATTGCATCAATAACAGCCCAGAACTACATCATCACTATTACCCCTATAGTGCCCAAATGCCTCAGGCCCATGGCCTTGAAAACTCCCTAGACTGGACAAGCTTGGGGTAGATTTTTCTCCAGGCATACTGCATTTAACTTATGCTGCTGAACTCTCCTTTTGTTTAGGTGTCTGATCTTTTCTGTCATCGCTCTGTCTTGACAAATGCCTGGATGAGGCACTTTCAGTGTACTCCAATCTCCCAGAAAGGTAAGGTATTAGAGCACAAGCCAGTTTTGTCCTTTTCCACAAAACCTTTGCAGCATGTGTTAGCATGGAAGACTACATCAGTCACTGACACTGCTTACCCCTCGGCCTGAATTACAACCAGGCATTGTGAAATGCTGCTCTAATTATGCTGTCTAGAATGGCTGGGCCACTGTTCATTAAAAAGAAAAGTCAAATTACTGAATCCCCTTCTCATCAATCTCTGCTGATAGTTATTCTGATGATCAGGGCAGCATTAAGTGAGACTGCCTATGAAAAACAGAACCAGGAAGATGGTCTCACCTAGGACACGACTGCTTTTCCCTTGCAAGTCACAACCTCAAACGTGTTGGAGATAGAGGCTAGCAAAGCAAACACCAGTTGGAGCACATACCCTCATCCCAGAAAGCAAAGGGGAAGACTTCACAAAACAAATGGTGAGAGAAAGATACAGCAGCCATCCACTTACTGCAAAGTCTCCAAGGCATAGCTCTGTCTAAAGAAAGGACATCCTTCAAGCTACTATGGAAAAGCCGCTCTCAGAGAGCAAACCCACCACTGGAAGGTTAGTGCCAGCCAAAGCAGTTTAGTTTGCACCAGCCACAGCAAGGTGGCAGGAATGGCAGCTTTTCCCCAGTGTGCAGCTCTGTGTCCGAAAAAGGCAATGGTGATTCCCAGCATCTGACCAAACCAGGTAGTCACCACATGCACACCCCGGCCTCACAATCCTGCCCAAGAGTTGACCTGAGCCCCACAGCACCTCAGCAACCATCATTTCTCATCCACATGCTAATCCTCAAAATAACACCAAACTCCAACTTACCAGTTTTGGTGATGAAGCAGGTATGTATCTTTTAAATCCCAAAAACATAACAACATATAAAACAAAATTCTATTTTATACCCCTTAAATTAGTTCTGCAAACTCAAACCAGAAAACAAGATGACGAGGATCTGGTCTCCAGGCCAGTGATCCAGAACTAGAATGCACTATAATTAGAATCAGGACTGAGATTGAAGACCCCAGTTTGTTTGCAAAACTAATTAGCTAATGTCATTAGAAAGCAATAGAGAATAAGCAAGAGCAGAATCAGACTCTACAGCTATCTAAGTAAAGGACAGTTTAATAACTGTACTTAGGATATGTTTTAAAAGAAAAAAGAAATCACTTTATGGAATAGATTTCAGCCTGGACAATATTCATACATCTCTGACTTAGCAAAATGGCTTGGATAAGAGGGTTTCATCATAGTAAACACAGCTACTTCACAGCAAGATTTATTAATACATCCAAAAGAAAGAAAGAAAATCATTTTGTCACACTATATACAGATAATACATACAGTGTTTTATACACATATTACATCAGTTTTTACACAAGAAAAATATACATAAAAATGTAAACTTTTGTATACAAAAACCCTTAAACAAATTAAACAAGGACCAGATAACAAAAGGAGACCAATCTATTATCATTTCATTTTTTTTTAAAATGGTAATACAGTACATTCATTGAGAAGTATGAGGAACACGTAAGCCAACCTTTCCTATTTAAAGGGAAAGTACAAACACAAGCTTTCCTACCCGCCCCTGGAATGCTGTCCGTGAGCCTCCAGCACTAGAAGCAGTAGTGTGAGTTGCTATTGCTGCTGGGGACCCTATAGGAAGCGACCCTTCTTCTCAGGCATCCCCATGCACCGCACTCTCCGAAAGCGATACATCTGCAGAAGCAACCTGGACTGGGCTTTTTGTGCGTATTAGCTAGTCTTCCAGCTAATATCGTGAGACGGGATGCAGCAATGCAAGTTTGTATGTTCCCTTTAAGCAGTCATTAAGTGGATTTAGCTTTGCTGGAGTAAGTTGTTTATTTTTCCCAATGTACGGTATGCTGAACACGCGTCAGGGATGAGAGGGTAGAAGTAAGGGGTGTAAGAGACTGCTAATCCTTGCTACCATGCAGTTACTTCAAAATTAGGTACGTTTGCAAGCTACGATTCACTGGTTCAAAATACACTGCCTCACCTTTGCTTTCCCACTGCAACTTGTTCACATTTTAAACTCTAGTGGCCAAACAACTGTACGAGGCTCTTTGTTACAAGGCTGTTTCTGATATCAATGCATGATCAAGCTACCTTTAAAATGACACCAAACACAAACTTCTCTGAGACAGCCTTAAAACGAGTGAGCATTTCTTCTAAGCACTTTGGATTGTCCATTTGCCACCACTTCTTTTAATAAATCTAGGATAAAGATATTTACCCTTAACTGCAAAAAGGATATTGGTTGAGATTCGGACATTCCACTTGCAGATAAACATTTTGGGGAATTGGAGGGAAAAAAAAAACCCAAAACAAACAAAAAAGAAACCCACAACAATAAACACAAACCCTAAAACCTCAGGCATCAAATAAGAAGAGAATTACTTAATACGTTGGTGAAAAAAGTTGCAGAAACTCATTGGAAACAAACAAACAAGAGATCCCTACAAAGCCTTCTCACATTAAATAAGTTAAAAGACTTGTTACAGACATCTTCAATGGAAACATCCATCCTCCACAAAGTATGTTAAAATGTAACACAATAGTGATGCACTGGTATTTCTCCTGAAAAGGACAGAAGGACACAAAATCTCCTTAGTGATATCAGCACTGTTGAACGTAGGAAGTGAGCAATGATTTATAAAAGTAAAGTGATGAGGGGAAAAGCTGTGTAAAAGAAACCATGAATCATTAATTATAATTGGACAAAAGGGGGGGTGGAGCAGAACGTGATTACAGTATGCCTCAGAAACCCCTGAAGGAAATACTTAGAAACTTGTGTTTCCATTTCTTTCTTATGCCCATCTAAGCAATGGTGGGAGTAAGGGCTTGCTTTTGTTTTTTTTAATCTTTTTTCTTTTTAAATAACAACCCGTCTAGTAACAGTTCAAAAGACAATTACAAATGGCTTTAGATAATTAAGAGTCTCCTTTTTAAAATAAAACTTTGATAACACATTTCTCCATTTCTTCTATATAACACAGCTTCAGTGAAAATATGTCATAAGGGACAGCAATTTGCAGAAAGTGGGAAAAAAACTGCCAACCAAGGTTCATAACATATACACATGTATATGCAGGACATCTACACCCTATATACATATTTAATATACGTATGCATGAGTATATATCAGGAGAGAACCAACAGGTACATTCTCCACATACATAAACTGAAATAGCGTAATATATGTGTGCATATAAATATGTATTATACACACACAGTACACAGACATACCCATACACACGCCTGAACATATGTATTATAGAAATTGTCGTGTATGATTGCATGAAAGCTCAGATGGAACAGTAACCAGTTACCTTCTTCTAATAGAAATGCAAGGAAGACACAATTCCATGGCTGAATCGTGGCCAAGAAAAACCATGCCATATCCAAAACATGGAATGCAGTATGGCTCGATGACAGAACTGGAGCAGCATTCTCCATTGAAACTGAAGCCTAAGTCAGCCAGGAGTTTCAACAGTGCTTAAATGTGACTGAGCAGGTTTCTAACAGCTGCTTTCTGCTAAAAGGATACAGAAGCTCCATTTAGCCAGAAAACAGAAAATAAAATACTTAAAACCATAATTTACTTGCATGAGCAAGATCATTCAATACACAATCAGACGCAAAGTGCATGTTAATGGTCAACTCTGCAGCTCATTTTAAAATCTGTTTAATGGTAAAATGTAACAAGCTTTGTTTCTCTTGATATTTTTGATGACAACCCCACTGCTCAGAACAGAGCATAGGGCACTTCTGCTTGCTGTCTGCACTCCAGGAAACGCAAACCAAACTCCCCTTTTCTCCCTGGGGGTGATAAATTGAAGATAATTTCCAGTGTGTGCATTTTTCTCATTGTGAACATTTACCTCTAAAATATAATGTTGCATCAACCTTTTAATATGCTAGGAAGCTTTGCATCAGGTTCTAAGAAAAGTTTGCGTTCCTCTGCAAATCAGTCACAGTCGTACTCAAGCACAGTTGAATAGCTGGGAAATTCTGCAGAAGATCAAGCAAGTGCTCAGGGCCCAATTCAGCTGCCACTACAGTCAACAAGAGAATTTCCCTAATGCATAAGCAGAGCTGGACTGAGCCATCAGAGCTGATTGCAACTAGCAAGAGAATCTGTAGAGATGCAAGGAAAAGAAGGAGCTGAAATGGAGGCAATGGAGCAGAGAAGCAGAAGAGGTCGGCATTGCAAGAGGCCTCAACAAGTATTAATACAGAATAAACAAAAGCAAACATATACCAAGGAAACTCCACTGTGAGAGCTGAGGTAACACAAATCAATGGTGACCAAGCTCAGATCAGTCACTGATGTCATCCAAATGCCTCAGAAGAATTAAAACAAGCTTGTTTGGCCCAAGTGCTTACCTGTCACACATACGTTACGTAGATAGTCTCTCTCTTTAGCTCACACACTTACTCACGTTACAACTAATGTACACGTGTGTGATGCAACGGATATTCCATCTATGCATCTGTATGCACGTATATATATAGATTGTTTGCATTCATACGTATTTATTGTACATCATGAGGGCAAGTCCACATTCAGCAAAGTGCTACCAACATCTCATATACAGGTATATCTCTCTGTACTGGTATACACAAAAATGGGTCTATTCTTCCCCATAAAGGCATACAGATTTATGCTGCTAACTCCCATTACCACCAAATAAGCAGACGGAAAGGCCTCTGACAACTTCCACCTCCCTGCCCTTTCACTTGTATGTATATGCGTCAGAAACGAATAGTGGGGAGGGGGAAAGGGGGAGGGATGGCAGGGGGGTATCAACATAATGATAGGGAGGGGGATAGAAAACAAAATTTTGAAAATCAAGATTTGATTTGCAACTGCTTAAAAAAAGCCTTCAAAAATTTCAAATGTCTGTGCAATACTGGAAGCTCTGTTTTTCTAAACAGATTTTTAAAGTCACCAGGATCACCATCATTAAAAGCGATACTGTATGAATAAATAACAATTAGGTTACTTTCTCCAACCTACATAGAACAGTATGAAGAATAAGCCAATGTTTAAGAACATTTCTGACTTCTCACAATTTCAAGCGAGAACTTCCATAAAGAAATCTTCCTTCTCCAATTATGAAAAAAAAAAAAAAAGTGGCCATAATTAAATTCAGAATTTCACAGCACAAGTGAAACTCCCTGGATTGAAGGTGTATTCATTCTGCAATCCCACAACAGCAATTTTGGGGCAAAATTAATATATGCAAAGACCCTCAGGAAAGAAAAGAATCCACTTTGAAGACAAGATCCTTTAAGAAAGGAGATCACTCCACAAACAGTGCCCCTTACAACCTAATTTGAAAACACAAGTACATTGATTGACAACATTTTCCAAGTCAGACCACAGGAGCTTTGGGTATTAGTTTGTAAAGATACAGCAATTCCTGTGCCTCCCCATCCCACCGAATGCAAACCTTCCCATTTCAATTTCTCCTGAAAAACATCACTCACTTCTCCCATCCCTCCTCCTCCCCCACTTGTTTTATTTAAAGGCTGTCTTTGGGAGCTTGGTATTTTCATGGCATTTTAAACAGGGCTCAATGCAACTCAATTTAAAAAAAACAGTAAAATTGACTTGATATCAGAGTTAGCCTTATAACAGAAGATTATGTAGTAGAGAGTTTCGGTTATTTATACAACAGGGAGGACATAGCAACCCCCTACTAAATAATCACATTTCTACAATACATTCCATCACCTCTCGACTACATTTCTCTTTACAAAACTATGACCTACATACAATATACACATTCGTATCGCACATACATCCCCCCCCAATGCATATCTTTTGTGTGTATATATAATACATACATGCACACAAGCAGTCTAATTCTATTTATAAGTCACAGTGGGAATTCCTTTGTGAGGAAAGGAGGGGAAAAATTCCTGAATAAGACACTGTAGATACCTAATGTTCTGACTTTTGAAATTCCAACTCACAGAGCTAACTGGAAATAAATACTTAAAAAAAAAGAAAAGGTCTTATAAACTTGATTCACAACTTCCAGCTACAGTAGTTGGATTTTTTTAAAACTTGATCTGTTTACCCTGTAACTAAATTTCTAATCATAGGTACAAACCACGGATAAATTATTGCAGAATGTAATACTCAAAATAAAATTTAAAAAGAGTTATAGGAACAGTAATATAAGGGTTAAAAAGAGTTCTATGCTTGTTGATACAGGATACCATTTTATTTTATTTATATATATATATCTATATATAGATATAGATATCTGCAAGGTAGCAAAGAATAGCTGTACACCTTGACACGGCAAAGATCCAGTGTAAAAAGGTGCTTCACTAGTTTGTTTTTCCAAAAAAGCTTGTATATAATTTTATAGCTATTAAAAACACATATGCAACATAATTCATTACACTCAATACAGCTTTAGTATAAAACTTATAATTTATGAGGTGATGTTAATAGCATAAATTAATATACCATTTCTCTTAAAATCTACAATAAGTATTCTGAAAGCTCATTGGGGAAGGGTATCTTTAAATAAAAAGTTTAAAGCTGAGCGTGATGAAAAAGATTCTGTATGTTGAACTTGAGATGAGAGCCCCGAGAAGAGAAAGAGTCCCTAAGCCAGACACCATGGACTATAAAACTGAACAAAGATTTCTCGTTCTTGCGCTCTCACTTAGGTGACGCTCTACCTTAAATTATTATTTACTTTTAAAACTATTTACTTTTTTTTGTTAACTGCCCTTATTTCCACAAGGAATCCCTGAGACATACCCAAAACTGTACAGTGAAGGTCATCACTGTTCAGAGAAACTGGTTCAATCCCTTCTGGTAGGATGTAGCTATTTTGCACGAGAATCAAACTGTCCATCACTTCAGAATGAATCTATTTGCACTGGAACCAACTACACTGTTTAAGATGCAGATTAGAGAGTCATTTCAGGGTAAATCAGTCCACTCCAGGGTAGAAGCCAACGCCATCGCAGTTAGCTACATCAGAGCAATCTGCACCAAAGTTAAAGTTTTCCAGAGGATATCTGGGAACGTCCAGAGTTCACCTCCATGGGCACCGGCTGACAATGACAGAAAGCAGGTAAAACATTAGCATTACTGGACCAAGTTCAAAATGCATATGCGGTTGATACACAAGTACTCTGGACGTCTCACTGTGTGTGTTCAGGGGACTAGCAAGGGGAAGGAGTAGGAAGATTTTTCTGTACCGAGTAAGTACAGTTTTAAGATCCAAAGGCCAAGTTTCATCCTGTTCACTTCCAAACCGAATTCTATGAGCCAGAGTAGGCTGAAAAGGTGCCAACACTTACTGCAAGGAGACAGAAAGCCTTTTCCAACTATTGCTGTCAATCTACGGCCAAGTCCACTTTCTCCTTTCATGCTTCCACAACCTTATTCCATAGTTGCCAGAGAAGAAGTATGTGAAAGCAGAATAAAACAAGGGAAAGCAAAGAATCCAACAACCATGAGAAGTAGCAGAACAGCAAAGGGAAAAGCTCCCAAAACAGTCACTATTGTTTTTCTTTAAAAAAAAGGCTGAAGACATGAACGGGAAAATTGTTCTAAGACACATCTTTTGTAACTCCTTCTCAACCAAATTTTTCTTTCCCAACAACAGTGTTTTTGGCTAGTTTTAAAGACAAAACCAAAACTT